GGTAGCATGTTCCTGTAGTTCTGGTTACTTGGAAAACTGAGGTGGAAGGATCGATTACCTGAGCCCAGCAGGTCGGCACCGGGATGGTCATAGCATGCCATTGCACTCCAGCCTAGGCGATGGAGTGAGACTCCAACTTAAAAAAAATAAAAATGAGCCGGGCTCGGTGGCTCAGCCTGTAATCTCGCGCTTTGGGAGGCTGAGGTGAGTGGATTGCCTGAGTCCGCGGGTTCGAGACCCACCTGGGCAACTTGGCGAGACCTCATCTCTACAATAAATCAAAAAAATCAGCCGGGCGTGCTAGCGCATGCCTGTAATTCCAGCTACTTGGATGGCTGAGGTGGAAGGATCGCCGGAGCCCAGCAGGTCGAGGTTGAGGTGGCCGGGAGCAGCCACTGCACTCCAGTCTGGGCGATAGAGTAAGACTCCAACTCAAAAAAAAAAAAAGAAAAGAAAAATTAAAAAAATTTAATTTTACTAATTAAAGTTTACTCTTTGAGATGTACAGTTCTATGTGAATGAACAACGCATGGAGTCATATATCCACCATGCCAGTACGACACAAAACAATTCTACCACATTAAAGATTCCCCATTGTGTTGTCTTTGTGATCAGTCACTCCAATCTCCCTCAGTCCTTGGCAACCACTGAGTTGTTTTCCATCATTATAGGCTTGCCTTTTCCAGAATGTTATATGAATGGAATTGTTTTGCATGAATCGATAGCTAATTTATTTTCATTGCAGAATAGTATTTGATTATATGGATATAGCTCTATTTTTCTTTCTTTCTACTTTTTTTCTTTTAGAGGCTGGGTTTAATTCTGTCTCCCAGGCTGGAGTGCAATGGTGCAATCATGGGTCACTGCAGTTCGACCTCTTGGGCTCAAGTGATCCTCCAGCTTCAGCCTCCTTAGTAACTGGGACTCAGGCATGGGCTACCATACAGTTGTTTTTCTATCTATTCACCTATGGAGTGGTATTGTGGCTACTTCCAGATTTGGTGATTATGAATAAAACTGCTATAATCATTTATATACATGACTTTTTTTGTTTATGTGTGTATTCATTTATTTTTTAAATTTTAAAGATGTGGTGTACAATTCAGGATTAGGTATACAAGTGGTCATTGTACACGTAAAGTTTGAGTCTCCCTTTGGTCCCCACTTCACCTGCTTTGAGATCAGGTATCCTACTGATGTTGTGTATCCCCTGAAGGGCCACAGCCAGGCGCTAGCAAACCACATCCCCTCCCTTTTCCTGGAAAGGGGCCCAAACCCAGCCCCTGCCTAAAATGGTGACCCTGCAAACAAAGGGGGCATCTGAAACGGCACCTTCCGGGTTCTTCTTCCACAGTCCAGCTCACCCTTTCCCACGCCTGTGAAAAATCCACCAACCTAAATGAAGCTCTGCCAGCCAACCTATAAACAACTGACAGGTCGCCCTAAGCCCCTGTAAAAGCCGCCACACCCTTGCCTCAGCGCTACAGCCTGACCCTCAGGCCCTGTAGCCACCCTCGCTCCTACTCATTAAATCTCTTGGCCTTAACGGGTGTTGAGTCTCACTGTGCGCCACCATCTTTCACCCCCCCCCACTCTGGCAGTTTCCCACTACTGCCAATCCCTTTCTTAAAGTATTATGATAAATGTTCAAGGTACACTTATGAGTGAGAACATGTGGTACTCAGTTTTTTGTTTCTGTGATAGATCACTCAGTATTAAAGACTTCCATCCAAGTTGCTGCAAAGACTACAATTTTGTCCTTTATGGCTGCACAATATACTACTGTGTATATGCACCGCATTTTAAAAATTCAGTCCACTTTCGATGGGACAGTTGGTTCCATGTTTTTGCTATGGTGAATAGTGCTGCAATAAACATGTGTGTACAGGTATCTTTTTTATACAGTGATTTGAGTTCCTCTGGGTATATTCCCAGAAGGGGCACTGCTGCGACAAACAGAAGGTTTATTTTTAGATCTTTTAGGAATCGCCACACTGTTTTCCACAGAGGTTGTACAAGTTTACACACCCACCAACAGTGTAGGAGTGTTCCCCCCCGCATCCTCCCTAGCATCTGTTGTTTTTTGAGTAATTGATGATGGTCATCCTGACTGGAGTTAGATAGTATCTCAGTGTGGTTTTAATTTGCATTTTTTTTATTATTAGTGAGGCTGAGCATTTTTTCGAACCTATTCAGTAAACAGTGCTGGGAAAACAGGTTGACAACTTGCAGAAGATTGAAACAGGACCCCTACCTATCACCATACACAAAAATCAACTCTAAATGGATCAAAGACCTAAACATAAAACCTCAAACGATAAGAACCTGAGAAAATGCAGGAGACGTTCTTCTGGAACTTGGACTAGGTAACCAATTTCTGATCAAAGCCCCAAATGCTCATGCCATAAGAGATAAGATAGACAAGTGGGACCTCATCAAACTGAAAGACTTCTGCAAAGCAAATGAAACCATCAGGAGAGTGGGGAGATAGCCCACAGACTGGGAAAAAATATTTGCCAGCTGTGTATCTGACAAAGACCTAACATCCAGGATCTACAAGGAACTCAAACATACCCCCCCAAACCCTCCCCCCCCAAAAAAAGCCCTATTAAAAAGTGGGCAAAAAATATGAATAGACACTTCTCAAAAGAAGACATATAAGCAGCCAACAGATACATGAAAAAAGGCTCAACCTCACTAATCATCAGAGAAATGCAAATTAAAACCACACTGATGTACCACCTAACATCAGGATGGCCGTCAAGAATTACTCAAAAAACAACAGATGCTAGAGAGGATGTGGAGAAAAGGCAATGCTTCTACACTGTTTGCAGGAGTGTAAATAATACAACCTCTGAGGAAAATAGTCTGGCAATTTCTAAAAGCTCCCAGAACCTTCACAGTTAATTCCCTCTATTAAATTCTCTCTGGTGGAATACCTAGGATGTTTTGTATTTTTTCTGATAGGTCCTTGGATTCTGATATTTGGGTTCTTTTTTTGGCTATTAAAAACAGTGTGGCAATAAACATTGGTACATGTCTCTGGGTACACATATGTGTATCGTCTTACCTGCTTCTGGCTGCAACATGCCCTCACACTGAGTGTGTGTTGTCCCCCGTTCGTCAGCACTTGTTCTTTCTAGGGAACCCATTGCTCTAGAAACATACTCTGGGACTGAATCTTTCTTTATGGCAAGAGCTGAAGCAAGAGTCATTAATATTTTTAAATTCAGGTCTTTATTTTTCCTGTGCAAATATGAATGCAGGAAGAACTAATTATTAAGGCTTTAAAAGTATACACGTTTTGAGAAAACATTGCTAGTTACTTTGTTTGATGATATGAGCTTGGATCTATGACCTTTAATAGAGCCTTTAATCCATTTTTTAGAAAAGTTAAAATGGTCATATTACCCACAATAAAAACAAGAAGAGACCCACATACATCCAAAATACATACTTGAAAATGCAGCACCTTTTGCACAAACTACATTAGGGCCCAACTGTGTAGCATAGAACTATAACATCAGACCGCAGAGACTTCAAAGTTGTCAAAGCAAAGTGGTGCATCATGTCTAAGAGAAGAAAAAAAAAGAAAGAAGAGGAGGAGGAAGAGGAGAAGGAGGAGGCAAAGGAAGAGAAGGAGAAGAAGAAGAGAAGAAAAAGAGAGAGGGAGAAAGAGAGAAGGAAAAAAGAAAGAGACAGAGAAAAAGAAGGAAAAACTAATTTTGGGGTAATTCGCAACATGTATGTAAATGAAGAATGGAACATTGAGGTCATAATATGAAATTATAGAACTGAAAAATATCAATCTATCTGTTCATTGGGAGTAAAGTTTAGTAGGAAAAAATATAAATCTGCTATAAAATGCTGATGAAATTTTATTTACTGGGTAAAAATAAAAAAGCTAATTTCTGCAATCTACGAGCCTTAGGTCTCAGGATGCCATTCCCAGAGGTCTTGAGGCGTCCGCTTCATGGGTGAAAGGGCAGTTTGCAAAGATATGGCCTAAAGGTCTCATCTTCTAAAGTATTAGTTGCCAACTTTTTTGGCTTAGGACACCACTTCAACCTTCAACCTAAATGGTCTCCCTGAACATGGCTTTTTCCTTGTGCTGGAATAAGTCGTTGGACCCTGACTCAAAGGGGAAGGTAGGGGCTGCCTTTGAATCCCTTTGGCAAGAGAGAAGGAGGGGATGTTTCTTCTGTTTCTTTGAAACAGATTCTGGTTTCACAGTGGTTGGATGGCAGGGAGTCTAGCTTTGCTTCACAGACTTGAAGTGACCCCAAGTGGGGTAGCCTCTCTTCATCCCACAGAACTTCTACTTGCCATAGCTCTACCAAAGGCCAGGGTTTCTAGGGTCCCAAAGAGCACATGGGGAGATACCAGATACAGAAACACATACCAAATTGTCTTGTGTAAGGTTGAATTTGAGTTACTATGTTGTACCTTTAGTTTGTTATTATACCTACATTATCAGATGGCGGTAGAGTGAGGTTTCAGAGGAGAAGCATGATGAAATAATCTTCCGTTTATGAGAAAATCAGATTTAAAAGCCTAAAAATTCCTTGTGGATTCTATAAAAAATAACTTGGAGTCCTGTGTGCCCACCTTCATACACTTTACAAAGCCCTGCCTCATGCAGTATTTCACCTGACACTTCACTGGGGCCGACAAAATGAGTCCCATTTTCCTTCTTTTTCTTTTTCTTTTTCTTTTCAGTTGGAGTCTTACTCTGTCGCCCAGACTGGAGTGCAGTGGCCGCTCCCGGCCACCGCAGCCTCAACCTGCTGGGCTCTGGCCTCAGCCTTCCAAGTAGCTGGAACTGCAGGCGCACGCCACCACGCCTGGCTAATTTTTGATTTGTTGTAGAGATGAGGTCTCGCCAAGTTGCCCAGGCGGGTCTCAAACCCGTGGGCTCAGGCAATCCACTCACCTCGGCCTCCCAAAGTGCTGGGATGACAGGCTGAGCCACCGAGCCCGGCTGAGCCCCATTTTCTACATGAGGAAACCAAGGTTCTCTCTTGCAGTCACACAGCTTTCAAAGAGCGAGTAGACCTGGAATTAAACCCCAGCAAGTTCCATGCCACGTAACTGTGGCCACATAGCATCACGCTGACAGCTGACCCCGTGAGGCAGGAGATAGACACTGCATTTTTACTGTTGTTTGTCCTCTGTCTTTGTAGCATCCCCGGGAGCCTCCCCGTCAGACAAGAGGCTGCCCCCACCGATCTTCACCTGGCTCTCCAGTTGGCTGAGACGCTGCTTCACCTTCATCTGGGTGGCGTTGTACTCAGCCAGGAGCCGCGCAAACCTGGTCTGCAGGGTGTCCAGGGAGGACTCTAGGTGTTCCACCTTCTCCTCAATGTCCTTGGGGTCTGCCCCAGCCCTGGCTACCTCCTCATCGATGAGATTGTCCTTCATCAGAATCTGCCGTCCCTTCTCCTCCAGGGTCTTCTTGGCTTCGGGGTATTCAGTGAGGGCCTTCATCAGGTCATCCTTCGAGAGGCAGAACAGGTCTGAGTAACCAATGCTCCTGATGTTGGCTGTCCTGCGGTTCCCTGATTTGCTCCCCTTGATGTTCAGGATGCTGATTTCCCCAAAGTAACTGCCATCACTGAGCACCACGAACTGGGTGATCCCATCGTCGGCCACCACAGCCAGCTTGCCCTCCTTGATGATGTACATCTCCTTCCCGATGTCCCCCTTCTTGCAGATATAGTCCCCAGGGCTGAACACGGTGGGCCGCAGCTTCAGCACCAGCTCCACCAGCAGCCCCGCCTCGCAGTCCTGGAAGATGCGGACCTTCCTCAGAGTGTCCAGGTGCACATTGATGGCAATCTCGGCCTTCAGCTTGTCTGGGAGGCTCTTGAGCACCTCCTTCTCATCCACTGTCTTCCTGTTGGCCCACAGGTAGTCAAACCACCGGATCACTCTTGTCTCCAAGTCCTTGGTGACCTTGCGGAACTGCATGTACTGCTTGATGCAGTCAATCTTGGCCTGGAACTCTGCCCGCGAGGCATTCATATTCGAGATCATGGAGCCCACGTTGCCCACAATGGTGGCAAAAATCAGAACGCCCACCAAGAAGTCTATGACCACAAAGAGATACTCTTCGTCTTTTACAGGGGGTGGGGTCTCACCGATGGTGGTCAGGGTCAAGGTGGACCAGTAGAGACTGTAAATGTACTTCCTGGAGAGGCGCCCATACTCGGGGATTGAGATGTTTGGGTAGACCCAGGAGTCTGTCCCAAAGCCAATGAACTTGGAAATGGCAAAGTAGATGCAGGCATTCCAGTGGATGATGATGAGGATGTACAAGACCAAGTTCCCAATTCTGAACACATTGGGGTAGTTGGTCCTCGTCTCTGTGCGATCAAAGAATTCAAAGAGCCGGGAGATCTTTAGTAGGCGGTTGAACCTCAGTTCTGGGTAGTTCATGCCCAGCTTTAAGTAAGCTAGGTCTGTAGGGACCAGGGCCAACACATCCAGCCTGAACTGCAAGGTCTTTGTGTAATGCTTCCACAGTCTGTCAGTATCCCTGACCATTAAGCCTTGTTCAAGGAAACCTAAAGAAGAAAATGGAGGTCACTTGGCACCAGAGATGCTGACTGTTTTGACCACAGCACATGGAAAGATATTTTATATCATGACTACACAACATGTATTGATACATATATAAGTAATTTTTTAAAACACCATTACTACAGGAAATGCACTCTGATATTTTCTGAGAGTCTAGTCAATTCTATTTAATACCTGAAATAAAAAGGTCAATTGCATACATCTGAATGTGGACTGGGTATTAGATGATATCAAAGAATGATTAAATTTTAAAAGACAAATGGAATTATATATATATATATACATATATATATATGTATGTATATACCATCCTTTAAAGTTAGAGATACATGCTAAAGTGGTTAATGCTTGGGATTTGCTTTAAAATCTTCTAGCCAAGGAAAGGGCATGGTGGAACAGGTAAAAAAAACACGGGCAGAATGTTGATAAGGCTGAAGCGAAGTGAGGGTTCATGGAGATTCATAATACTATTCTCTCTGCTTTTTATCTATGCTTGAAAATATTAATAATAAAACTTTAAAAAAGACACAGGTTATGTATGGCCTACCAAACTGATTTCACCAGTCATGAATGGGGTGCAATCTGCCTTTTTAATTTTTTTGAGTTGGGGGTCTTACTCAGTAGTCCAGGCTGGAGTGCAGTGGCACGATCACGGCTCACTGCAGCCTCAACATCCTGGGCTCAGGTGATCCTTTCACCTCAGCCTCCTGAGTAGCTGGGATTACAGTCATGCACCACCATGCCCAGATACTTTTTAAATTTTTTGTGGAGATGAGGCCTCTTTCTGCATTCTAGAGTGGTCTTGAATTTGTGGGCTCAAGCAAAATCTTCTTGCCTCGGCCTCTCAAGGGCTGGGATTATAGGTGTGAGCCACCACTCCTGGCCTAACCTGCCTTTTAAGAACACTGTGGGGAAAAACAGTTCTCTTTCCTGGTTACATATTATTAATATTTTGACCTAAGGGGTTTTAATTTAATTTTATTTATTTATTTATTCTGTTTAAAGGATATGCTTTTTTAAAAAATTCTATTTTTTTTTTTAGATTCCAGGGGTATATGAACAGGCTTGTTACATAGGCAGATTGCCTGATTGTGAAGTTTGGGCTTCAATTGAACCCGTCACGCAGATGGTGAGCATGGTACACAATGGATGGTTTTTCAATCCTTATTTCCCTCCCATCCTTCCCCGTTTAAAGAGTGCTCAGTGTCTGCTGTTCTCATCCTTATTTCTGTATACATTCAGTGTTTAGCTCCTACTTGTAAGTGAGAACATGTGATATTCAATTTTCTGTTTCTGTGATAATTCGCTTAGAATGATGATCTCCAACTGTATCCATGTTGCAGCAAAGGACACGATTTTGTTATTTTTATGGCTGCATAGTATTCTATGGGATGTATGTATCACTGGCATGCATGTAACATTGATGGCCAACTGGGTTGGTTCCATGTTTTTGCTACTGTGGATGGTGCTGCAATGAACATACATGTGCAGCCATATTTTTGGTAGAGTAATTAATACTTCTTTGGATATATGCCCAGTAGTAGGATTTCTGGACTGAATGGTAGATCTATATTTAGAAAAATTCCAAGCTTGAGAAATCTCCAAGCTTCTTTCCACAGGGGTTGAAATAGCTTACATTCTCATCAACAGAATATGAGTGTGCTCAAGAGACTTTAGAAACTTAAAGTCTGGGACCCACCCATAGAGAATCAGATTGGACTGAAACTGGGCTGGACACTGGGAGTCATGAGGCATTATGATGGGTAAAAGTAGGCTATGGCCTGCCTTCCATTTTATGTTTTATTTTGTACATTTCCAAACATGCACAAGAGTAGAGAGAATAATATAATGAATACTTTTTAGATTTTAGTGAGCATCAGAATGACCTCAAGGGCTCTGTGAAACACAGTGCCGGCCTGCCCCCCAGAGTTGGTGCTGGGGTCAATTCCAACAAGTTCCAGGTGAGCTGCTGCCACCAGTCCAGGCCGCACTTTGAGGCTAGACTGAGGATAGGACCGCTCCCTCCATTAAAACTGAAAATCAAGTTTGCCATCATATATAAAGGACACCTGGATCCACATTGCATTCTTTAGTTATACATGAGTTCATCGAGTGTCTAGAGCATTATATAGCCATCCTTATGCCCATGACCTCTTCTTTAAAATGTCTTCTCTCCATTCTAATGCTTGTTTTCCTTGGGATATGATTCCTGGCCTCCTTCTCCCTATCTTCCTGCTAAATCCTGGGTTGTGAAGGATAGTACCCAGGTACAAGGGGTGGGTCAATGTCTGAGTGAGGGCGCCTTGTGCCACTGAAACTTGGATGAGTCCAGGGACAGTTGGCCAATAGGCATTCTCAGAACTCTTGTGTCTGTGTTGGCTAATATGATCATAGCAGAGGGGTAGACCACCAGAGCTGGCTAGGTCACCCATGCAAGCCTCAAACTGTGTATTTGAGGTCTTCTAAATTACAATGTTGGCCACTGGTGTAGAAGCAGATGGGGTGCCACTCTGGCATGGCCAGGTAGTGACCATGGACTCTGGGCGAGTCACCCGGCATCTCTGGTCTCAGCTTCTAAATCAGCAAGGTGGAGTTAATCATGTCTGCACTTTGTGTCTCATGCAGCTGTCCCAATGAGAAGGCAAGATGTGCTTGAGATGCTTTGTACATGAAGCCATACTGAGGTTGGCTGCTGTGAGCCAGTGGTGTTTATACTGACAAATATGGCAGGGTGTTTAGTTCAAAAATCTTGGAGAAAATAAGCAAGGTTTCCACCACTTAGGTTATGTCATTGTGCAAATTAGCAAAAGATCTTCCCAAGGGCTCACGGTTCAGTTCCTGAGGTGTAGGTGGGTATCACTGCCCACCCCCAGACAGAGGTGATTCAAAGGAAATCATTGCTCACTTAGGCCTCATTTCAGATTTTTAGTTCTCCGCATCATCAAACTCCCCTGAAAGCCAAGGGGTTCCTCTGACTGCCCAAGAAGAGAAACTCCAACGTTTACTGAACTCTCCCTCCTGCTCATCAGAGCTGGAGGGTCCTTTGAGACTGCAATTTGTCCTGCTTATTTCACAGGTGATACAAACGAGGCCCAGAGAGACAACTTGACTTACTCAAAATCAAACAGCTTATGGGGAAAGCAGGGCCCAGAACCCAGTTGTTCTACCCCTGCTCAGAGTCCTGTCCAAGGGTTTAGGCAGCACCATCCACAACCACAGCTGGAGATCCCCAGACCTGCCTGGCCTTTCATAGCCAAAGATAGATTATTTCTAACCTACCATGCTGAGTCTCCCTGAACAGTCCTGTGGTCCCCATGGCTCCCTCCCCAGGCTTGGGAATACTCACCTGTCCGAGCTCGCACCAGCATATCCAAGCCATAGAGGATATCTGCCAAGTAGTCCAGGACCAGCCACATCATCAGGTAGTTGGACTGAAGCTCATCAAAACAGGCTCTAAACAAGCCAAGTGCGAGAAGGATGGTCACATGTTGCATGTCTGTGGGTGGGCACTGGCTCTGTGCTGATGACACTGGATTGTTTCATCTGGGAGCGGCTCTGCCTGTGGTGTTACTACCCCAGTGTAATCACCTCAGCTTCTGATGAGGAGATCCAGGCTCTGAGGACCTTTTCTGTCTCATGGTCACAGAGCCCCTAAGGAGAACGCTGGGCTTGACCCCCAAAGAATGGTCCTCTTGCCTCTTAGCCATGGGCTCTGAGACTTCAGGAGGTGCAGTTTTCCAGGCCTCACTGGTGGAATCAGGTAAAAGGGCTAAGGACCTGCCTTTTGTGGGGGTCAAATTCCAACAAAGATATGAGCATTTCTGAGAGATTAATAATAGAACAGGCCAGTATGTCTGTCCTACCTTCTCGATCTTTGTGCTATTTGTCACACAAGCAGCACCCTCAAACTCTGCCCCTTAACTTCAAGGGCACAGAAACCTGCCCCTATAGTCCACCCTGCAGCTTGGTGGATGCAGCTTGGTTGGGGGGAGGATACTTTGGGCTTCCCCAAAGAAGAATAGCGGCTCACCCCATCTCCTCAAAGCCTGGCTTACACCAGAGAACAGTAGCTTGATATGCACACCATCTTTCTCACTTGCTAGGATAGGCCCCAAGGACTCCTCCTTTTCACCTGCCCCAGAAACCCCTCAGAAGAGCAGGAGATCACTCTTGGCTCAGATAATCCTGAAGGTCTCTGCGTTCTTGAGACAGGTGGCATTGAGTCTCCTCTGCATCCTTGCTATAAGGCATGAGCAGGAATGCCCCAAAACTCATCACATGGCTTCCCAAAGCAGTGGCTCTGTGCCTTGCAGACTTGCTCAGGAATGCCTCAAAGTCCACTGTCTTCCCTCAGGGGGTAGGACTCACCTCTGCACCTTCATTTGTGTGCTGGCTCAGGTGGGCCTCAAAGCCCCTGCTCACTCTCAGAAGCGCCGAGACCTGCCTCTGCACATCTGTCCTGCAGGCCTGCTCCGGAATGGCCCTAAGTCCTCCTGTCTACCCTCAGAGAAGCAGCAGCTGACCCTGCGTCCTTATCCTGTAGGCCTTGCTTACCTCTAGGGAGTAGCAGCTCGCCCTTCCTCCTGCTCTGTAGCTTGTAAACTTCCTCAGAAATGGCCCAAAGCTCCTGTTTGCCCAGAGCATCACCAGCTGGCCCTGCTGGCCCTTGTTTGGTGGTGTGCTCAGGAAAGCTTTGAAGGCCAAGGTTGCTCTCAGGAGAACTAGCTCCCTCTGGCACCCCCACCCTGTAGGCTTACGCAGAAAAGCCCAGGCCCCTGGCTTCCCCTCAGAGCAGCAACAGCTCTCCTCTGCAATTGCAAACAGCAGCCTTCCTAGGAGGGGCCCTCAACACCACCTTCTGCTTAGACTAGAAGAGGCTCTCCTCTGTATGCCTACCCTACAGCATGCTTAGAACCATGCCCTTCTCCCTCAGGAGAAAAACAACTTGCCTCTCATTCTCCTCACGCAACTCACTTAAGAAGGCCCCAACGTGCCAAAACCCACACTGTCTCTCTCAGGCTCAGTGCCCCACCAGCTTCAGAGCACCCCGATGGTCCTCTTGGAGAACTTTCTATTTTTATAGATGGAGAAACTGAGGCACACCAGCTAAATGATGGCTGTGAGAGGACCAGAACTCAGGCTTCCTGAGTGAGAGCCAGAGCTCTGTCTCCTAGGCCTGGTGTTCTCATCCTTTCTCCTTCTACTCTACCACCACCCCACCGCTCCCCCCTACCTGCAAACGAGCATACACCAGTTATAGAAGACAGGCAGGGCAATGGCACTCAGCCAGCGGTAGTACAAGTTGCTGGAGGGATCCACCACAACCACATCCTTCTTCTTCCTGGAAACCCAGACACACACAGACAGTGCAGCGTGTTAAAAGACTGCAGCTTTGGAGGGTTTGAGAGACCTGGATTAGCTTAGCCACCCTAGGGCAATTTCAGGTGGAAGCTCATGAAGTGGCTGTCCACAATACAGTCCTCTCAGTCTCATGGAGTCACATGGGGAATACCTGTATGGGAAGACAGGCTGAGGTAGGAAAGACTTCAGGGTCCTTCCCTCCCAGCTCAATCCCCAGGAAGCCACAGTCGACTGTAAGGTCATAGTGATGATATTTCCATGTGTTTGTGGCAGCATCCACACCCTTTGGGATGCTGGGAATGAAAATGCAAAATGACAATGTCACCGAGGTCAGCTGAGGTCTTGGGAGGAGCTTCGTGAAAATGCTGATTTCCAGGGCCGACCCATATTCCCTCCAGGGCAGGGATCTGGCAATGTGCATTTAAACATTGCTCTGATGGTTCTGAGGCAGTTCCTTTCTTGACTGAGTTTGGGATCCCTGGAGAATTCCCCTGGGAACCATCTCTAACACCTTCACTGCATTTGTGCTGATGTCGTAAAGGCTCATTTCCAAACACCCGGATCCCGCCTCTCCATCAAAAATCATCATCCTGTGGCTGGGCATGGTAACTCATGCCTGTATTTCTAGCATTTTGGGAGGCCGAGGCAGGAGGATTGCTTGAGCCCAGGAGTTCAAGACCAGCTTAGGCAGCATAGCAAGACCTCATTTCTATAAAAAATAAAAAATGTAGTCAAGCATGGTAGTGCACACTTGCAGACCTATAGTCCCAGCTACTCAGGAGGCTGAGGCAGAAGGGTGGCCTGAGTCCAGGAGGTCGAGGCTGCAGTGAGCTGTGATCATGCCACTGCGCTCCAGCCTAGGCGACAGAATGAAACCCCAACTCGAAAAAAAAAGTCACCCTGGGAATAATGTAGGCCAACGCTGAATGAAATAAATCATGTAGAGTGCTTAGTTTTTATTTTCAGGATTTTCTGCAGATTTGAGTTTGCGGGTGGTATTGGAGACTCCTCCTTTTCTTTGGGTTCTTGAGTCTCCTCTGCCATCCCATATGCCTCATATGCTGGCCCAGGACTACAGAGCTAGAGCTGTGCTCCAGAAGAGACTCTGGTGATGTTCTGCCTTCCACTGGACTCAGCAAGTACAAGATCAATTGCTCATTGACAGGGCTATCAGTCTTGGGTTTGGAAGAAGGTTTGTGCATATAGTATTATCCAGAGCCCAAAAGAAGCCCTCAGCTTACCCTGACTGTGTGGACCACTTGTGTGGGCGGACCGAATGTTTGGGGTGGGGGACACATGAGCAGGGACAGCCCCTGGCAACCCACCTAAGGCAGCAACAAACACCTCTCTGTACTTTTAAGCTTTCTGGAGTTTCCGAACTGGGAAGGACTCTTTCTGCAGAATGGGATCTTCACATGGTTTCAGGAATCCTAGTCCCCAGCCTGAGACCAAATCCTTTTCCTTGGCTCTGAGTACCCGCTTCAGGGTTGACACTAAGACCTCCTGAAAGCATTGCTTCAGGACACACAGTCCTGGACCCCCACAGCAAGGGGTTAGGCCACCTGCCGGGATCATTGAATCCTCTCCTCTTTTTCATTTTAATTTTTTTTTTTGAGTTGGCGTCTCACTCCGTTGCCCAGGCTGGAGTGCAGTGGCACACTCACGGCCACCCCTGCGTCGGCCTACTGGGCTCTGGCGATCCTTCCGCCTCTGTCTTCCAAGTAGCCAAAACTGTAGGTGCAGGCTATTGTGCCTGGCTAATTTTTGGTTTATTGTAGAGACGAGGTCTCACCAGGTTGCCTGGGCTGGTCTTCAACCTGTGGGGTCAGGTAATCCACTTGCCTTGGTCTCCCAAATTGCTGGGATTATAGGATGAGCCACCAAGCCCGGCCAATTTTAGTTTTTTAAATAACTTTATTTTATTATAGAGCTGTGGAGTACAAGTCAGGATTAGGTACATAAGTAGTCTGCATGCAGTGGAAGTCTGGGCCTCCAACTGGTCCTCACTTGCTCTGGTTTAGGATCAGGTACAATTTGTGTTTTTATGTCTCACCCTCTCCCTCCCACACCCCTCCGCAATGTCCCACAACTTCCAATCCCTTGTGCGATTGCAATTAGTATTTGGGTCCCACATATGAGTGAGAACGTGGAGTATTCAGCTCCTTGTTTCTGTGATAGATCACTAAGTATCATGGTCTCCAACTCCATCCAATTTACTGCGAAGTCCATGAGTTTGCCCTTCTTTATGGTTGCGTTACACTCCATTGTGTGAATGCACCACATTTACCACATTTTCTTTATCCAGTCCACTTTCTTTCTTTCTTTCTTCCTTTTTTTTTTTTTGAGTTGGAGTCTCACTCTGTCGCCCAGGCTGAAGTGCAGTGGCATGCTCATGGCCACCCCAGCGTCGACCTGCTGGGTTCAGGCGATCCTTCTGCCTCAGCCTTCCAGGTAGTTGGAACTACAGGTGCTACCACGCCTGGCTAATTTGTTTGTTTTTGAGTTGGAGTCTCACTCTGTCGCCCAGACTGCAGTGTAGTGGCTGCTCCTGGCCACCGCAGCCTTGACCTGCTGGGCTCCGGCGATCCTTCCACCATAGCCTTCCACGTAGCCGGAATTACAGGCATGCGCTACCATGCCTGGCTGATTTTTGATTTATTGTAGAGATAAGGTCTCGAACCCACGGGCTCAGGCAATCCACTCGCCTCAGCCTCCCAAAGCACAGGATTACAGGCTGAGCCACCGAGCCTGACTTAATTTTTGATTTATTGTAGAGATGAGGTCTTGCCAAGTTGCCCAGGCTGTTCTTGAACCTGTGGGCTCAGGCAATCCACTCGCCTCAGTGATGGCTATCCTTACTAGAGTTAGGTGGTATCTTAATGTGGTTTTGATTTGGATTCTCTGATGTGAATCTGCTCTGGAGGCAGTGTCTCTCAGTACTTCCTCCTCTTGTTTTATGTTGTTCTTTCTCTCTTTTTTCTCTTTCTCTTCCCTTTCTGCCTTGTCACTGGATGATGCAGGTGACATTTAGCCAACTTCATATACCAAGGGCATTATTACCAACCAGAGGCTTGCAGTGGCATGGAGAGAGGACATGGCATAGGAAATGAGTATTTCCAGCACATTGGGATGAAATGAGGTTATTGATTTTATTTTTATTCTTAAAGTGTAAGGTAAACTACATCCATTAAAGTATACATTGAGAAATTAGTAACTTCTATAATTTCTGATCTATTTTCATGAGCTCCTGGGAAGTTGTTGGGAGCCAGACACGGAGGCCCACTGAGCGTTAGGGATCAGGAAGGGCCGTTGACCCCGAGACCACTAGGATGCGTTCGGGAGCTATTGACCCCATTTCCTCCCCCTTTCTACTCAGCACTAACCAGATTAAGCTCCTGTGAGCTCAAAACATAAAAACTCTGAGACTGGGACGAACACAAGCTAACTTTAGAAGCTCATTGCTCCATTCTTCCACAAACTGCAGCTTTGGCTTTCACACAACTTATAATTCAAACTCGGGTCACATCTAAGAGCCTTAGTATTGGTCACAGCCTTCTGGGTCATGATCTTAGGATTTATTGAAGTTGAATAAGGTATAAATTGTAGAATATAGTTTTAGAAGACAGCCATTTTGTTGAAAGAATGCGGTTGGGTTACTTGCAGGTAGCCCACTGTGAACTTTGGACTGGGCCACATTCCAAACATTCTGTGATGGCCACTTTAGTTTGTAAAGTAAGTACTTAAGTCTCTATAGAATTGTTTAACTTGGTATTAGTACGAAAAGGGTTTATAGGCACTGTGAAAAGGGTTTATAGGCAGTATGAAAAGGGTTTAAAGGCAGTCATGGATTAAGGTTTCATCAATTAGGTTATGGGATTATACCTGAAAGAACATCTGGTGGGTGGGGAACGCCCCTCACACACCCGACTGTGTATAAAAGACCCGTTGTAATTCCCAATAAACAGCTTCTGCACTAGACAGGCGTCTGGTCTCTTTCTTTCTCTCTCTCTCTCTCTCTCTCTCTTTCTTCTTCCCCCCAGTCGCCAACACCGTCTCCACCTTTGGGGTACCCTGAACCTGGCTGGAGCTGGTCTCCGGCAGGAAGTCACAAACAGCCTGAGACTGGAGACATTACAAGATCGTGGGAGATAAACCCAAATCTACACACTGAGGTTGGAAAAGTCACTCAGAGTTTTGAAAGTCATCCGCCAAGCTCTTTGTTCTGAAGCAAAGGGTATGGCCTGTCTACTGTTCTCAAAACCTGTCTCTGAATCAAATGAAAGCCTGAGCCTTGATGAGAAAGCCAGCAAGCAGAAGGAAAGCCAATTTTGCATAGACAGGAACAGGTTTAGGAAGCATATAGTGACAAATCTCAGAGTCATCTGAAGCCTGCACGTGGGGCAGAGTTCAGACTCACATTCAGACTTTGCTGTGCTATGAAACAATTCCATCCATCTGTCTGCAGGAGGGTCCTGCCAGTAGGTTCTCCTCAACACATGACTTTACTCTACTCCCCTTTTTTTAAATTGGTTGTCTTTAAAGAGCTAGATACCCCTATAAAGTGATACAATGAATAGTTATAATAGTTGGACATGGCAGGTGTTAATACCCCATTGAAGAGCTGAGGAAACCAAGACTCAAGGCCAAGTCTTGCCTGCTGAAGGGGCACCCTCTGGAATCCCCTTGGGCCCTTCTGATTCGGCTCTTCCACACTCTGAAGGAAGGCATGGGTTGAGAAACAAACTTCTGATAATTAAGCCCTCATTGACAAAGACCAGCCCCCTCTAACCTAGCACTTCCTATGGAATCAAGGATGTGTACAGGCATGCTTGTAGAAGAATAATCACTACCATTATTTATAAGGGTCAAAAACTGGAAGCAATTTAATCATGCAACAGTGGGAGATTCATCCTCAACTGTGGAATCCTATGAGGCCACTTAAAATGATGTTGTGAAAGAAGAGTGACACGGGGAAATTGC